TACGTATATATATACGTCTCATATACCATAGCAATATTAGAATATCAGAGGATTTCGAATGGTCAATCCTCGCTAAAATGTGAAGAAAACACCCATCACTATGAAGCTACAGAGTTGAATAAAATCTTACACAAACGTATTTTGTTTCGCAACGCACTTGATATATGGTACTTGAGTAATTGAGATTTATGACGACGTCCACCCTAAATACATGTTTTGCACGTCAACAACCGTCTGCATTCTCACGTCGCGTTATTTCCAGGGAACCGACATAAACTGGTGAGAACTAGTTCATGGCTGATCCCCAACGATGGGCAACGGGCCTGAGTTATTAAGTAAAATAAACTAATTTAGGCTTGCCACACGTTTTGCTATAATTATTCTTCTCAGCCATATACGATGACCTATCCTTGGTAGTAGTTTTATGATACAGATGCCTAAAGCTTGTTGAATAGAGCAGCAGTTTCCCTGTTTAAGAGGGTATAAACCGGCCCCACCCAGCTTGACAAACAGGTTATCCCGGGTCATGTTCATACCGGTTTGGGGCTATCCAGTTACAGCTGCCCCGTGTGTGACATGTTCGACACATGATGAATGTGGGAAGCGCTTGGCAACCTGCATCTCCAAAACAACAAACAGCTTTTCCCTCGGTATTTCAACCCTCTGCATTGCCGTGATGGTGCTTTGCCCATTTCGCTGTAAGCACGTGCCGCCCTTATAACCAAATACCTCCAAACTAGCATCTGTTTTCCGAGGGAGACCAAAAGAAGAGAAGCGTGGGGTGGATAGAGAATGCGAGTAAGCTTCAAGCAGAGGCGAATAGCCTGGATGCCAGACTCGTAGATTTAATGGCAGAGGTGTAACATTGGACTCTGCTGTTCCATTGTGGGGCCTACGCAAAAATACTGAGCGTTCCAGTATCATCTGTGTCTGATCTGGTCAAACTGTTTCTCAGGGTCTATAATAACTGAGGGGGTCTGTGGTAAAATTTTCTTGGGGGCATGTTGGCACTGGAGCCGAGGAGCTGGCCTGTGTAGGCCCTGGAGCCAAGGATCTAGCCTGTGTAGGTCCTGTAGCCCAGGAGCTGGCCTGTGTAGGACCTGGAGCCGAGGAGCTGGTCTATGTAGGCCCTGGAGCCGAGGAGCTGGCCTGTGTAGGCCCTGGAGCCGAGGAACTAGCCTGTGTAGGTCCTGGAGCCGAGGAGCTAGCCTATTACAAGTACGTAGCCTCTGGAAACAGCCCCCAAGCGTGAGGAGGCTACGTGTCATCTCGTCTCATGGCTCTCATTCAAGCGCACCCACAGGTATCCCAGGAATTGGGATAGTGTGACACACGCCCGATAGTCTTACTGGATGTCCGTCCTGAAATAACAGAACTCAGCGCATTGGGAGAGGCCGGAGCACCTCTAGTCCGTGTAGGCGGGCCAGTCGGGGGAGAGACGCGCTACAACGCTTGTGACGCAGGGAGAGTGAGAGAGCTCGATCGGGCTAGGAGCCTGGTGCCACACCGGGGAGAGTTTACCTGCACGTTACTGCCTGGACTAGACACTCCGGAAGGACCGGATGGGTTGAGAATGGCCGCTGTGCAACGACAGACGTCGCAGCAATGGGGGCATGTGGAGGAAGAGAGCGACAGGAGAGAGCACTACGAGAAGGAGTGGTGGAAGTGGAAGGGACAGACGAGAGCAGACGTAGCGCATCTACGGAAGGGTGATGCCGCCGCAAGGTGAGGGGGGATTCTTAGTGTTTGTTTACACTCAGTCCGGAGTTTGAAAACTTTGATGATGGATTGGTTTGGATCGACTTTCAGAAGAAAAATAAAGCGTTGTTGACAAGAATTCTAACATCGCGACTAATGAATCAACGCGCACAATAATGCACGAGATGACCACTACGCAAACATGTGCGGATTTGCTTGACTTAGGTGGTCTAAGTTTGATGCATTCTTAACATGAAGCCCCAGCAAAAAGTCATTGGTAATGTTTTCATAGAAGTAGCTTTGCTGCAGCATGTGAGAATGAAAATATGGCGTTTCATCGGCAATGGTGATCAAATAGAATAACTATTGCAGTTGGGACATTACTAAGTCCACATTTGAACTTGAAAAACTATAATCATTTCATAACAACACGTTAATAGCAGTAGATTTGCAGCAGTGTGCTCCTATTTGGTAGGCCCAAATTACCACAGGAAATGCAAATATTGGTTATAACCACATTCTGTAATATATCATAAACATATTAACTACAGTAATCAATGAACAGACTTTGCACTTGACCGAGCTTGTATATAACCCTCTGTTATAATGTACAGGTGCATCAAAGATCAATTAGCAAATAGTTTCTTTCATCTTGGATGAATCGTCGTCACTTTCGATTCACCAGAACCTCATCTTTCGTTTCATTTCATTTTAAATCCGAGAAAAGAAACTTGAACCACGTAGCAAAATAGTTTGTCTGCGTGGACTGCCCAAAGCTGTAGGAGCAGCGCCATTCTGGATTGTGAGACTGAAAATAGCCGATGGTACCACCGAGGATTGGGTGTCATCAAACCCGTGTGCTGCTGCGCGGAGCCTGCGGAGTTATGCAGCAAATTCAGCTCCTGGAGCGGCCCACTATCCGCAGAGGTGGTCTCTCCGTCCACTCTGTAACTCGCTTCGTCCCTAAAGACTGAAATTTGCCCCCCTCACACTCCTAGTTTGTAGTAATCACTCCAGTTTATGATATCCAGGCTAACGCACGGTGCTATCGTGACGGGTAAGAGGATGCTGTATCGGTTTGCTTTCACGGGAAATTCCCGAAGGTCCGTTGTAAAGTGGCGCGATCCCCAGGGGAGATATTTATGTTCGGCAAAACATTCAGGTCTCCTTATCGGGTCTCAGTTTGGCTGAACATATTACGACTTGGATGTAACAGGGTGGGACCGACATCGATACAGGGCATTACCGAGGTACTGTCGCATATTTAACCTCTCTTTGTAAAGTAGCAGGCAGATAGTCGTGGCAATCCCTACCATAAGTGGAGGATCGAGGTTGGAAGTTCAGACACCTCGGTCCGCTGGGAAGTTGTTTGCGGGGTACTTTTAAAATTTAAGTGTTTGTTTGTTCAAAACCTGCTGCGTCACCAGCGATTGGATCGCTATGCGGGTTCGTGAAAAAACGTTTAAACTCACTTTTACCTTCACCTCAACAGTCTGGTCTGCTAAAACTAAGCTTTGTTCATCAACATGACATATCCGGTATCGTACAAACGTTTAAGTGGTTATAGATGCAGCTGAATCTAGTCTGTGGGCATCTAAATACAGTCCGTCTCGTCAAGGCCATGCTCTGTTCAAAAGGTGCAACAATCAATTTAACATGAAATTCTAATCCTAGAAACCAAAGCAGAAATAAAAGCCACAGTTTCATTGCCGCTCCCTTATACGTGAAATCGTCAGCAGCATATAAGGGACATTGCAGGCTTAATTGGAGCCTTCCATGGTTTTTCCGTGTCGGTTGGGGTGATTGAGGATGTCTGTGGCAGCCCAGGTCAGGCTGGTGGACATGCAGAGGACAGCTGCTGCACCGGGCGTCACATCGAGACCTTTCAGGGATAGGAAATGGCCGTGGTTTCCTCTGTAGAATGTTACATCTGTAGGTGTGAAGAAGAAAGGGTAGAAATGGCATCATCCACCTGTTTCTATACACGCCACAGATTTAAACGCGTAGACATTGAATCGTTATCGTGAGGAAATGCATTAGTCGTAGTAAAAATGGGGGTGGATTCCTCTTTAGAACGTTACATCTGTAGGTGTGAAGAGGAAATAGTAGAAAGTCTGTTTAAAATCATCATCCACCTGTTTCCATACACGCCACAGATTCAAACGTGCATTTGTAGACATTGAATCATTATCGTGAGAAACTGGCGTGTATTTTAGTAAAACTAGAGGCTGACTTACACATCAGCTCATTCAGAAATCCATTTTATCTCTTAACATTACATGGTTCTGGCTTCCCTAACTTTCCAAAACAACTGTTGAGAGTAGCTGTACATGAACATGTACGTACTTACATGTCCTTACGTACAGTGTAGGGGCTGATAAAATGATACTGGCAATAGAGTAAGTTTTGAAAGATTGTTTGTGTATCCCTTCAACTCATTATAACATGACAAACCTGAACACACCGGTTTCATGCGGTCTTTAGAATTCCTCGTATTCATGTCGTGGATCAGTCGCATCGTGTATTGACGTTTGGCAGCGCATCGTAGTAACATGACAGTGCGATGCACAATGTGACTCATGCCAACATAAACACCATAAAATGTTTGTTTGCAACATGACTGGTGCAGTGCTTTGATCTTCACCACCCCTCCCGTCCTTGTTTTCGCTCTTACATCTTCAAAGTAATTATATCGTTTGTCTTATCAGGTCTTGCCCAGTATTGACCCTTGGCGCAAATTAAACTTTTGTTAATAGCTACGTCTAGCAAAATGTTTCTTCTCTAAACAAAGGCCTAACTATTTCTATGATATATTAGATGGGCAAGTCATAAATGCCCCTACTGTACTCAGTCACAGCGAGTACCACTCTGCGATAGTTCTAGGGAAGAATGAGTTTTGGCTAAATCCTTGGTTGATAACTTTCACTGGTACTTGAAGGCATGACTATTTCTTGTTGTTTTCTTAATTTTCTTGTGAAGTGATGCCACTTCTAGAATCGACTTACACTTGATGACAATGTCCATTTCCTTGAAAGTCTCATAAAGTAACACTTCTTGTCTTTCTCTTGTCTATTTTTGCAGCCAAGCGTCGCAAGGAGGGCCGGGAACTTGGCCCGGATTCAGGCAGAACATCCCGACTTTCGAGCAACTGCACAGCGTCGCCCCGCCCGTGGCCACCACCTCCACAGGCATACCCCCCGGCGGAGACCGACCCCCCTCCCCCACGCCCCCCTGGAGAGAGGGGAAGAAGTTCATCAGCAGGAGAACCGGCCCGACGATCATCAGCGTGTCCACGGAGGAGCTTCGCCACACCGTGCACACCAGAGCTCAAAGTAAGCTGCCGCCTCCGCAGAAGTACGAGCAGCCCGTCCAGAACCGGCCGTCTGCACCACCACCACAGCAGCAGCAAGCTCCACCTCCTCAGCCCGTGAAGGTAGCGAACACGCCAAGGATGGCGGAGGCTCCGACAAACACGCCCGCGGCTGCGCCTCAGGCTGCGCCCGCCCACCTGTCGGCCCAGGCCCGAGCCGACTACGAGGCGGCGGAAGTGGTAGGGCACGTCGACTTGTCCGGATACGCCAACGTCGTGTACGACCTGCACGTTGACAAAGGGAAGCTGGCCAGGACGGTGGACGCGGCTTCCAAGAGGGTCCGGAGCCGGGGCGCGTCTGCGAGCGGCTCCGCGTCGGCCACACGCGAGGGGTCGCCGGTCAGGGAGCTGGGGGCTGCCGGTGAGGCGGGGGCGCAGCAATCGTCAGCCGCTGCCGCTGCCTCCGCTGCCCCGTCACAGGCCCAGGCGAGCGCCGCGGCGGCCACACAGAAAACAACCAGCACTACCGTGCAACAACAACAAACGTCCGCGGTCTCAGCCCAGCAGCAGTCGGCCTCCGCCGCTGCCAGCGTCCTGGAGTCGTCTTCAGCAGCAGCTCCTGTGAGCAGCCAGGACGCGGCCGCGGGGGGCGGCCAGCCCTCATGGACGGTCCGGGGCTCGGCGCAGGGCGGCGGAGGGGCAGCCGGCGGCGGTGGGAGAAGGGTGTTCGTCGGCCGCCCGTCGGACTTCGTACCTGACCACCTCCGTCCCACCATCCGCGCCACACCCGGCCAGCGGTCAAGATACATAAAAACATACTCGTACGTCGCCAAACACCAGCTGATGGAATAACAACGAAAAAAAGCAGCAACAAAAACAACAAACAACAACAGAGTTTTTGTTTATGAAGCAAAAAGTGTGAGAAGAAGATGTGAGGTAGATTTCAGCCTCTCGCGACGACGTTTCTCTGGCTAGTTCCGGTGGCAATGGCAGCGAGTCATTGGAGGGAAAACGTGTAATGACCTGCCCTAGACGCTAGCTGTAGGAATTTTCAGGGTTCACCCAACACTGTGCTACTCGGCTTCTTCAACTGTATCTAACGCCATGAAGAAATAAAGACTAAGCTTTCTTTCCAACACTGGAATGAAGTAGGGACTTACCCCAAATTTCCGGCTGACTCCTTCAAACTTGTTCACGGAATGGACCCGTCTACTCTTGGAACGTGGCGTCGGAGACACGTGGCCGTAGTAGCGGGTCGTACGTGCCAGATAACCTGTGTCGCCCCCCGTCTCTGTTCAGGGTATGACCCGCTACTACGGTCACGTTTCTCTGTCATCTCCCAAACCGTAGGAATGAACAAGACGCTTGGCGGAGAAAGAAACCTTACAAGATTCACCGAGAAGTGCAGCCCAACTCCATCGCTATGTCCAACATCGATCTGGATGTGTCGCTGGTCGCTACATGCAGAACAAACGACGATAACTAAACGCAAGAAAAGCCAAAGGTGTAAAGTTTGAGTGGTAAAAACCCTTGCAGGTGTTAGATACAGGCGATGTGTTTCACATCGGCTTTATATCTGATCGATCTCCGTTAGCATGAAATGATGCTTTGGCAAAACAGCTGTCGTGGGGTGTAAACAAAAACTGTGACTTGAAACCTGAGACGATAGCATGTCGCATTGTCTATATAAATGTAGCAAGGGCAGACGCTGCTTTGATACATTACACTGGATACTTTACGGTGCCAAGCGTTGTCCTGCGTGTACCTTACTTGATATGTATCAGAGAGCTAACGTTTATGTCATGCGAAGTTTGATTATTAAAGAATCTATTGGAGACTGCGAGTGTGAGAACTCCAAGCGACGATTACTGATTGGACTATGGTGTGTTGGTATGTGGGAGCATGGGTCGTCTTCTGCCTGCTTCACTGACCGCAGAGGCATTCTAGGAACGCTCCAGTCTGAACCAGAACTCAACACTGGGACACGGAATAAAGCATGATGACTTTGTTGGTGCATTCTGAAGGACTATAATATAAAAGTGTGAATCTATTAATTTTAAGGTCCTAAATAATAATGTCCAATCTAGCAAAGCAGTAATTAGTGATGGGTGCATGAGGAAAGTGTCCTATAGAACTGCGTATGAGAACTTGTTTGAAGCATTCACCTATGTGCAACACTTTCCACTGGAATGCATCACAAAGTAGAATGAACAGATAAAAACAGACGTGTACATACTGATAGCATCATTTATAGTGATTGCTTTAGTCCAATACATAGGCTTTCTGTGGGGTCAAATTTAAAGGGATCCCCAAAAGTACACTGTCGACCGCTTAATGTTAGTATGAAGAGTTTCGGAAAGTGTCTTCTTTAAGTGTACGTGTAAATATAAGACGTTGTCGTCTTTAAGGAATGACATAATGACGTGATCTCGCACTGCCAAGACTTCTCGCTTTCTCGCATTCAGACGACGGTGCAGGCAGATGATTTTGATGATACTATATCTATATTATGTAACGTTACAATGGAAATCTTTTTTCTGGCGAATATAATTTGTTGGTTACTTTTTTCTCTTCTATCCTTCTAAGTATCGGACAACATTACAAGCAATTGGTAAACGCTGTATGTTGATCATGGATAAAACCACATTGGACTGGCTAACCCCAAAAGAGACAACCTTTGATATATATTATTTAGACTAAGATTTAAGGCAATAATTTTTATAAGTGATTCGATATATTAATTGCCAGCGGTATGAGTAAGTGCTGTTTTCCCATAGCAGGATGTCTGTGCCAATTTACGAAGAAATGCTTTGAGTAATGACAGAAAAAACTTCTCAACGGCCAACGCAATGCCCAGAAAATCTGCATCTATCCAAGAACTTTGATCACCAAAATCTTTGCAACGGGCTGCTTGTAGATTTTACGTGTGAAACTTTGCGTACCGGATAGAGTGATGGAGAATGTTAAGGGGGAGTTATCCTCTTTTTATTTTAGCTATCACTTGCAGGGCGTTACGGCCGCTGAACCATATATAGATCGCGGTATGTTCGCAAACCTATTTTGGGTGGGCGGGCGGTTATAGAATTGAAAACACGTATTAGTAACTCATTAACAATGGAGCGTGGTTTAGTCGCGCAGCTTCAGAATAAACCAGGTTTAACCTTCATGAGTAAATGTTGAGAAAGGCCGTGAGTTGTTATGACGAGGTTTTCTTCTGGATGTACCAGTGTTTATGTTCAAAAACAAATCAAACTCTACTACTGGCTTACGCATTAGTAACTCATTAACAAGAGATGGAGCGAGTTTTAGCAGTTCAGCTTCAGAATAAACCAGGTTTAACCTTCATGAGTAAATGTTGAGAAAGGCCGTGAGTTGTTATGGCGAGGTTTTCTTCTGGATGTACCAGTGTTTTTGTTCAAGTGCAAATATAACTCTACAACTTAGATAAACAACGGAGATAACTTCAGGACGTTTTGAGTGACATCCCTCACTCTTCTTCAGTATACATGTATAATAGTGACACAAGTCTTTGTCATGTTCCACTGTTTTTTCTAGTTCCTTCCCTTGTGACTAGTGTCGACTTGTGCTCTCAGTTCACTTAGTGAAGAGGAGTGAAGAAGAGTGGCGGATGTCACTCGAAACGTCTGGAAGTTATCTCCGTTATTTATCCAGTAGCAGAGTTTGATTTGATTTTAATTATTGTCTTACCTGGATGTCTAACCTTCATCAACGTATTAGTGTTAATGTGTGTGGATGGAGCCTGGTGATCGGTGACATTCGTGGTACCGCCAGAGCAACGGACAATGTAAGAAAGTTAATATCAGTAGTCTCCACCAGACTCCTTTGCAGAAATCGGTCTAAAAGAATGTAGCTGGCTAGGGGAGTTGGCCGGCCATAGAGGGTCCAGTTTGCATGCAACATTCTTTTAGGCCGATTTCTATTATTCATTCAGCCTGCAAATGAGTCTGATGGAGATTAGATATCAGCACGTCTGCGCGAAAGCTGTAATGTATTGTGCATAGCACTTCCGCAGAACGTCTGGTTTAAGGCCGTATTCAAATGTTGTGTTGGAAAATATATTGTCTGCAACAGGCACAATTCTGTTGCAACGTTGACCAAACATCCAAGGAAATTCGGGAACAATCAGGTTTACGGTCAGATGCAGTACGTTCTGCCGACGCGCTAGTGTTTATGATGTATGATCTTAGTGGGAATTGCTTAATTCTTAAGAGTATTGTCTCTCACATTCGAACAGTGCTGGGAAGGTACTTTTTTTAAAGAATGTGAGATCCTGAATGAATGATGAAGAGGTCGATTACTAACATGTAAAAAAACAAGAGGAAGGGACATATGTATACTTTTACTCCCAGACATACTTACATTCTCTGACATTAATCATATATGATTAATGTCAACCAGCAACCTGCTCAAGCCAGCCCAAGGGCGTACCCGAGGGAGCCACCAGTATAAATATCAACCTATACATGCACGAACAGACGCTTACAAATATTCCTTCTTCCCTCGCACAATCCCCCAATGGAACGCCTTGCCTGGCCCGGTAGTTATGGCTCCCACCGTTGAGTCCTTCCGGGCTAGGCTGGAGGCCTGCCCGCCTTAGACCAAGGCCTCCCCCCCCTAAAGTGCCCCATCAGGGGCTATATGGGGGTGTAGCCGGGGCTCACATCATCTTTGAGCCCCGGCAAAGATGATGAAGATGAAGATATATGAAACAGAGCAAGGGTAATGAAATGAAAAAAACACACACTTTGTTGCCAAACGCAAAAAAAATGCCAGCTATTTTAAGCTGCTGATCAGCTACGGACTGTACTCCGTACGCCGCCCTGCAGATTAAGGGGGTACTGCATTCATATTGATATAAAATAGACTCGCCTCCCCCTGCAGGGCACAGCACAGTAATAGGGCTTTCCTATGTTAATATATGGGAATTATGTCAAAACAACGTGGTCAACATTCATATACCTGAGTTTTAGACCTTGAAGAACATACATTGGCAGGGTAGGCCAACCTCTCAAGTCTCCATTCCCAAAAAATGACAAAATCCTACGCACCTAAACCATGCGAGAATTCTACCCAAACATTGAGAAGTGACCCCTGACCTCTCTGGACAGCTGATGACCGCATGTAAACCTATATCTTCTTCAGCCAGCCAGACAACACAAACATGGCTGCAAGTCTGTTTTTTCACCAAAATGAAAATACTACAACCCTTACCTATAACATCCAAGTCCAAAACAACAACATTTCCCTAGAAAAAGACTTCTTTACACTCTACATTACATTGCCATCTCTATATACTAGAACTGGGCCCTCTGCGCCTGCGCTATAACTGACCTTTGCCCTCCATTTGGAATGAAATCATTTGCACATTTGAAATTTGAGGTGCTTTGTCTGACTAACAAGTTCTTATCAAGAGAAAGGCAATAAGTTTAAAATACACACTGTGTAAATCCTATATATATAGAAGAAGAACTTTATTGCACGACAATTGCACATTGTACAATGTATGGCAAACTACATAAAGAGAGTAATAAACAATAAAATAAATGTGTTGAATAAGACCTAATGTCGAATAAAACTTAACATATCTATATCACAATTATTCAAATAATAAGGGATAGCACAAGTCTTTGATAAAGTGTTACAAAGTGGGCTAATCACAAGTTTCGGTATTTTTTCTAATAACAACGCATTCCTTTACATATCTACCTATGTAAAGATATAGTCACTGTATATATTCCGAAATGTGCCTCAGCGCGTACCGGCTGCCTTATGACGTACAAACAGTTCCGTCACGCATGAGAGTACAGGTACTGTGTGTTTGTAGTCTCAAGGATGACCAGCGCCGGAGGCCAAACAAAATAATCATCCTCTGACACGGTCTGACCAGTAGATCACGAGAACGCCACATACATATTATTAGGTAGCCAGGAGTCCATCCGTGAACGCTTTGTCTCCGCTCCGTTCCTCCGCTCTGCCTTCACATGTATAGGTGCAAGGTATACAACCTACCTGGACTTCGCGAACTTGTACAGCCATTTCCGTACCACACGTACAGCAGACATGGTCACACCTTGCGGGTTGACAAACATGGCGTCTGGACAGGTCACACGGACAGCGCGACACCACGACATGTCGTCCGCAGGTAACAAGGACCTGGGAAGGCGGATTAAATTGTCAGTCGTCAGCCTGGCTGTCTTCGCGACGCTTCTAGTTCTTCAACAGGCGCTACTGAGGTCAGTTTTTGTCTGTTGTAGACGTCCTTGGTCACTACAACTCTCCAAGCAATAGCTCATAGGCTTTGGTTTATTTATGTTTACCGTTTTTGTTCTGTTTCCTCTTGCGTTCCAACCACAAAAGGTCAATGACAACAACCAGACGGCTGTTACCATGGTAACTGGTGTTGGGTTGCGTCATGTTGCAGTTTTATAGGAGGGATTTAGACTCCTGTCTGACCATATATATATGAATGTGTTTGAGTAAGAATTAACAGAGCAGGCCATATGCGAAGGTAAACATTATAGCCTGGGTGCCACCCCATTTGTAACGGCTACCCCGTAGCAAGTCAGATATTCTAGGTATATACCTAAGTATATCTCACCAAGTTTTTTTTAATGTTTTGCCAGTGAACAGATATCAGATCTTGTCCCTCAGCAGCGGTTGACTAAAAACAGTACTGCGCAATCTGGTCTGACGTCATCAGCTGCCAAGGACCAACTGAGGTCAGTGGACTGTTGGGGGGGGGGGGCTAAATCGCTACGATGTCCTAGTTGCCGGTTTCTATTAAAAAAACGACTCCCCCTGTATCAAAATCTAAAGCTGCTTGTGACAATTCAGCCGTCCCAATATCGACTAGACATAACCGCCCTTCGGCCTTGGGGTAATTACTGTAGATAAGTAGACATTCTAAACAATTAGATAAAGGAGGAGTAAAAAATGTGCCCAGTTCTCATATAATCAGTGTTCAACACATTTATGTTACACAGAATGCTCTAAACCTCTGCGAGAGTGATATCTTTTAGCCCCATAGCTTGCCAGCTTGTAGCGTGGTGACCATATGTATACCACCGTAGGCTTTCCGGTATCTCTACGGTGCTGGGAGTGTTGCCCGCCCGCCCTGGCCCGTTAAGTCATGCCGGGGAATTTTTTAACGATGTTGCGTTCAATTAGCTCGCTTTACAGTACGGCAGTTATTGGAAAGGGGGTTGGAAAGATAGATTGTAAGTAAAAAGGCTTATATGTAACGTTGTATATATACATGTGTGTATATGTACATGTACATATACACACACACACACACACACACACACACACACACATACACACACACACACACACATATATATATACTCACATATATAAACACACATATATACTAGTATATACACACACATATATATACACACATATATAAACACTCATATATACTAGTATATACACACACATATATATACACACATATATATATACACATATATATATCTTTTATACAGCTCTTAATTTCGCCCTTCCAACTGGCTGGCTAAACTGCCCTAGTACATTATTCTCCCTATTGGTTACTTGTACTGTTTTTTTTAGCCCGCGTTGTTGGTAAGATTTCTTCACCGTCTTACAGAATTGCTACGGCGAGGCTTCATCCTGCAAAACTTTTTAAAATCCGGTTCAAGTGGGAAAATTCTCAGCCGGCTGCTTCGATATGCCAAACCGAGAAAAAGAAGAAGAAGAGGAAATGCAAAAATCGGCTGAAGCGTCAGTCGGCACCTAACCTCGGTCCGTACAGCACATGCGCAGTCGTCGGGAACGGCGGCATCCTATTGGACAGTCACTGCGGTGACGACATCGACGCGAAGGATTACGTCATCCGCGCGAACCTTCCCGCCCTGGAGGGGTTTGAGACAGACGTCGGGCGGAGAACTAACATGACATTCGTCAACACGAACGTGGTCAAGAGACTGGATATCGCTTCTAACTTGCAAGACAGGACTCGCGACCCGTATCCGACTCGCTTGCGACACTTTAACAACACCGTGATTGTCGGGAACAGAGAGTCGAAACTTGTGTTACAAGCGGCTGCACGGACGAACGGACTTACGCTCTACTTTTGGACCTGCAAGCACGACCTTAGAAAAAACAAAATCATCAATCCGTAAGTACACCATGCTTCTTTTAAAAACTTGTTTGGGATCTCTTTCCTGTCGAAAACAAGCCAATATTGCCACAGCCACATTAGTAATTGCAGACTTATTCTAATAGTCTAGTAGCCTGAATGCCGTTATTTGTTCCAAGACCCAGGCGAATGGTTTAAAATGCTATGCTATTCATCAATCAGTGCCTGTTTTGAAACTAGATAGAAACTTTTGCAGGTCTTCTGGCCTCCCCCCCTCCTAACAGGGTAGGGGTAAGTCGGATTTAAGCAGCTCCCAACCCTCATTACGATTCATACAGTTTGGGGGTACGTGTTTGCTACTTTTTGGCGACGTCTCAGGGAGGAGCCTAATGGCACAGTATTGTGACTGTGTAGTTTGCAAGAATTCTAGGAATGGTACAGGCATTTTGTCCACAGGAATGGAATGTCCACGGGCATTTCCCTGACCCATATCTATGCCCACATTCCTGGAAACCCTTGGGAAGACCCAGAAGACCTGTCTACCAAGGATGGCCCTACTTTCTGTGACCCCGGGGCTCGTTCACTATACACTCGGGGGAGGAGTGCGCTCACTATATCTGTCTTGCTCAAAATCATGAAATGATGGCAGTGCCATGCAAACAATAACCCTAACAGCAACCACCGTCGCCATGGCAATGTATGTTTTCATTGCCAGTCTTTTTAAAACAGTCATTGATTGATGAATATCTTACTAACTGTTAATCTATATGTGATCTGTTCTCTGATTTGCACCTCAGGATCGCGTCCCGGGTGGCTGGTTGGCGGTTCCACAGTCGGCCCTCCTCCGGCCTGACGACCGTCCTCATCACCAGTACCTTCTGCAGTCACCTGTCTCTGTACGGCTTCTACCCTTACAGGTCCGGTCGCGAATACATGAAATATTAAGTGTCCAAAATGCTCCCTTACTTCCCCACCATTCCTTGTCCGGTCGCGGGTTGGGAATATCTATTTATCTATTTATTTTATTTATTTACTAGACTTTCCAATGCAACAGCAAGTAGCATGGCCATGGAGGAGAGACAAAACAGGTGCATAATTGCACCTCTGCCAGTTGTCTCTCTACATGCAAAATACATACTAAAACAGTAATGATACAAAAATAGACAATTCAACTGACAACGTACTATAACATATTAAGATATATAACAATAAATGTATACATGAAATACAGAAATACATGAAATATTAAGCCGTGATAGAATTGCTTTTAAACGTTAAAGAAAATGATTTGTTTTATATTATAAATGAATATTATTTTTGAATATTTTAAAGGAACCTGCAATTCAGACAATAGGATGTGAGAGAGCTTCTTATTCTGAATAAACCATTCATTCATTCATTCATTTATTCGTTCATTCGTTCATTCATTCATTCATTTCATTCATTCATTCATTCATTTCATTCATTCATTCATTCGTTCATTCATTCATCCATCCATCCATCCATCCATTCATTCATTCATTCATTCATTCATTCATTCATTCATTCATTCATTCACAGCAGGGACGCCGACAACAAGCCCATCCCGTACCACTACTTCCCCGACGATGGTGTTGACGAGGCGATCGTCAACAGGAAAAAGCACCACCTACCGACGGAGTACCGACTGTACAGGGAGCTCCACACACGTGGGGTTTTAACGTTACAGGAAGGAAAGTGCGAGAGGCAGGAAAATAGTTCTTTATCAAGTTAGATAAGATAAAAAAATCAGGCTTCCAAACCCAAAACAAACAGTAAAAAGAGAACATCGGAGTACCGTCTGTACAGGGAGCTCCACACACGTGGGGTTTTAACGTTACAGGAAGGAAAGTGCGAGAGGCAGGAAAATAGCTCTTTATCAAGTTAGATAAGATAAAAAATCAGGCTTCCAAAACCCCAAAAGAACAGTAAAAAGAGAACATTGGAGTACCGTCTGTACAGGGAGCTCCATAGAAGAGGGGTTTTAACGTTACAGGAAGGAAAGTGCGAGAGGCAGGAAAATAGCTCTTTATCAAGTTAGATAAGATAAAAAATCAGGCTTCCAAAACCCAAAAATAACAGCAAAAAGAGAACATTGGAGTTACCGTCTGTACAGGGAGCTCCACAGAAGAGGGGTTTTAACGCCAAAAAACAGTTACTCAGGGGTTTTAACGTTACAGGAAGGAAAGTGCGAGAGGCAGGAAAATAGAAACAGTTCTGTATCAACTTAGATAAGGTAAAAAGTCAGGCTTCCAAAACCCAAAAAGAACAGTAAAAAGAGAACATTGGAGTACCGTCTGTACAGGGAGCTCCACACACGTGGGGTTTTAACGTTACAGGAAGGAAAGTGCGAGAGGCAGGAAAATAGCTTTTTATCAACTTAGACAAGATAAAAAAATCAGTCTTCCAAACCCAAAACAAACAGATAAAAAGAGAACATTGGAGTTACCGTCTGTACAGGGAGCTCCACAGAAGAGCGGTTTTAACGTTACAGGAAGGAAGGTGCGAGAGGCAGGAAAATAGAAACACTTCTTTATCAACGTAGATAAGATTTTTTAAAAATCAGTTACGTAACGGGAGGGGTCCTAATTCCGACCTATGTTCCATGCAAATGCACAAACCTTTGGTAATAGTTAATCTGACCAAAAGCCCGAGCAACATGAGCTATAATATTGACGGATAAAGATCACAACGATTAGAGCTGCACATTTGTGTATTTCACTTCAGTGTAGCGCCTTGCAACCAAGCGTTCACGAAACTTACGGCAAGTTTTTGGTCATTTTGATGAAGGCTAGAGAGTATAGTAGAATGTGAGTGTAAAAAAACGAGGGCGTCCGTTCTACCAGGGTTCTACCTTCCACACGCACACACACACATATATATGTATATATATAGAGAGAGAAAGAGAGAGAGATGAGAGATATATATATAGCTATATATATGTATATATGTAGTGATTTTACTTTTTTTTTGTCAGGCAACGGAAAAGGGAATTGCTTTTACGTACTACGTCAGTGTTGTGATATCTTTTGAGTATTTTCGAAACACAAACATCAAGTTTGTGATAGATTATTTGTTGGTTTGTCAATAATCAATTATTGATATAAAGGATAATCAATAATGCAAATATTCTATTGGCGGTAAAAAAAACATCACACCAAACATGAGTTTTTCCAACATATTTACTATTTTGTCAGCTTTGTACAATATTCATACTATTCTGCTTTATTCTGACAGTTTCTTGTTATTTTGCATCATAAACCTCTTGTCTTATGTAATTCTATCTGATATTCCATATATCCAACAAAACGTACTTTAAAAGTGGATGGAATAATGTCTAAAAATAAAATTATCATTACAAGATAAACAAAGACATTTGATAAATTGTCTTACTAAATATATCAGCACCGTATATTTGCGGCAACTTGTTTTCAGTTGAAGTTACACCATTCTAGTCAAATATCACTCTAGTCTTCAATACAGACTGGCGAATATTCTAGTCAAAATCACATTGAGGTATCTTTTAGGTAATTATCATGTAATAGACACGTAAAACCATACACCTAATATGGAAGCCTCATTTACATATCGTCATAGCAACCCCCCACCTCTCCACCAATCAGGGCTAGCCATACAACAGCCCCTCTGTCCTACCCAAACCTTTTTTATTACATACATGTATACATGCTGTCCAAATATTACATTCAGGCATACTGGCCTTGCGTAGCCGCTACCTTACCTTTGTTTTGTTTTTTTCTTTACTAAAAATTCCTGCCGTTTTGTTCAATTCACGGCATAGAATCTTGTCTCTTTGTATCGACACGCTATCCACAAAATAAGTACACAAATTACAATATCGAAAATTTACAACCTGTATGTCTAATATGCTCTAGATACATAATTTCAGTTGATTGTCGCTCACCAAGCCTAGATTTGATTTTTCAGACATCAACAAATCGTTAACTTGGCTCGTGCATTGCTCTATACTTATATATATCATACATACACATACCACTTATGTTGTACATAGTAGATCTCTTTTAGTTACACCTACTACACAAATCAACATGACAGCCTAGGAACAAAGGCCAGCTAGCCAGAAGTCAACATTTTCACGATTCATTTTCCATATAAGTACAATAATATACAATTTTCTAAACTCCCACCCCTTAGTTAAACACCAAGACTTTTTCAGCGAATGACCACGGATCTAGAAAAGATATGGTTGGTCACGGGTAAAAGTTTGACGAGGTATTAGAACGGACCACAGGAAGAATAGCTACTGCCCTGTACATGTATGCTAAATGTGGATCCCGAATGTGGGTAGACCTAGAACTACCCTCCGCAGAAAATCCTAAACGATGGGAAAAAACTGGGGGTTTGATACACTAGAAGACATGTCTGCTGCGGCCCAAAACAGAAGTACCTGGAGAAGTTCTGTCAGAACTACTCGTCGACCGATACAACAGTAGTTGCGGGAGGATCTAAGGTAAGGGTCTTTTGCACCAGAGAATCTGCTTGGACATTGTTCGAAGTCTAACTGATCTAACATGCATGCGAACTAACTCGTCCGGATCCATGCCCATCTGTTCGGCAATAGCGTTCATGTCTATACCCACAAGCTCCATCAAGTTTTTCTGAATTCTACTCTCCAGTTAGCCTCTGCCTGGCTTCGGGAGGCGGCTGGAAAGAGTAGAAATTGGCCAGATAGAGAGAGAGATAACACGCCGGGTGCGGCAAAAGGTACTCTCCAGCAGACCAACTCCCCCGGCATGTTATCTGTCTATTTAGCCAATTTCTACTCTTTCTAGCCGCCTCCCGAAGCCTGGTAGAGTCTTTCTACTATTCAGCCCCCCTGAGGAAGGCCTTACAATAAACATTGGATCTGGAAGTCTAACTGGTCAGCATGCGAACTAACTCGTCCGGATCCATGCCCATCTGTTCGGCGATGGCGTTCATGTCTATCCCGACAAGTTCCATCATCAGCGGGATGAAGTCCATCTCCTCCCCGGTGAACGGGTTGTGGAGTTTGGGGCAGGTGGGGTTACAGTGCGGCCAGGGGCAGCTGTCCACCAGTTGGGAGTCACACGTGGGAGGGTCCTGCGGCTCCGCACGGCCCCACAGGAGACTCCTCTGTTTCCTGTTTCTCCTGTTCCGTCTATTCCTGCGGCGACCTCTCCTCCCTTCCCGTCTGTTGGTCCTGAAAAAGGGAAAAAGGAAAGCGTGATTCCAATCAAGTTTTAGCTAAGTGAAAAGCTACTCTTCCACTGGTGGTGACAGAGAAGACTAGCCTAGGTGCCATTCTGTAGTTTCTGCCAGCTCCTTAATGTTGCTGGGCTCCGTGGTAGTCAGCGACATTAGGGAGCGGGCGGAAACTACGGAGGATGTCACTAGGCTAAGTAGGGGATTTACAGGGTCATTGTACCGGGAAAAATTTCCCTAGCTCTTTTCGTACCCGCGCATGGTTCTGGATAAAGCACGGATCTGGATATCCATGGACTATCCAGAACCGTGCCTGAGCATGGTTCTGGATCATAAAGCACAGTTCCTGAAGCAACAGTCACCAACAACTTATTGTTCCTGCCCTTAGTGCTGATCCGCCTTCAAACAGAGCAAAGTGATGGGGAAATTGTCACCATAACAAGTGATGAGCAACGAGAGAGCAATAGTATCCTTTCTTTGTAATCATTCAGTCACTGGATGGGAAACCGGACTTGCGCTTTTGAATACCCTTAATTCAACATTGTACATATTTTGAAGTGTATGTTTATTTTCTTTATTGTATGTATTTGTTTAGTGGTGGTGTCAAAATAAGTTCCCAACTTGAGTGCGCCACTACTACGTCCTGTATTTTGTTCGTGTGTATGATCAATAAAAAAAGAGACACACCTCTCCACGGGGTCGCCGCTGCCAAGGTCCTTGCCTTCCCTCCGCCGGTCCTTTCCCCGCTCCCCGCCGGCGTAGCTGCTGGGGTCGTCCGCCATGGGTCCCGCCTCCTCCCGGTGCTTGCTGCGGTGTCGGCCGTGGCGGAGCGGCCGGTCGGACGGGCTGCTGGCTGCCGCTGCGGTGGACTGTTCCCAGCAGTGCAGGGCGCTCGGCAGGGAGACGCCCTTCATCCGGACTGTCATCCAGTCGCTGGGGTACAGAAACATGCAAGTGAAAAATCATTTCAGACACCTTCTGATCTTCATCAGCACTTTATGATTATAGTGGATAATTAATAATTGCCCAAAGGTACACTTACCTGCCGGGTAATTGTGGTTGTCCCTTACAGGTCCACGAGTGCTATCACTGGCCAAATACCTGATTAATGTGCAGTTTTCCTTAATATGCATATACTACGCCAAGAGTCAAAGTTCAAAGGTTACCCCTATCCCATAATGCCCTAGTCCTCATTCTTTTTCTTTGGCGCAGCAGGAGGTGCTGGACGCCAATAGGGCAGGGAAGTAGTGTAGTACTACTAAGGGAAGGGAAGGCCAGTGATAGCACTCGTGGACCTGTAAGGGACAACCACAATTACCCGGCAGGTAAGTGTACCTTTGGGCAATTATTAATTGTCCCTCACAGCTCCCCTTCGTGCTATCACTGGCCAAATACCTGATTAATGTGCAGATTTTGAAGCCACGTCCAGCACCGCTCTCCCGAAGTCACTCTCTTCGAGGTCCCTCTTGTAGAAGGTTGCAAAGGTGGACTCGCTGGACCAGTCCGCTGCCCGTAGAATTTCTGTAGTAGAGAGGCCACTTCTCTCTGCTGCTGAAGATGCCGCACCTCTGGTTGAGTGGGCACTGTACTGGGCAGTATCGATGCCTGCTAGGCTCATCACGCTTTTGATCCAGCGTGCGATGGAACTTGTTCCCACTGCTTTATGTGGCTTTTTGAAAGACACAAATAAGTATTTTTCATCCCTCCTTAGAGGCTTGGTCCTGGCCAAGTACTTTTCGACATAAGTCTTAGGACACAGTTTTTTGTCCTGAGGGAAGGAAGGCAGAAAAACCTTCTTAGTAAGGTTTGTTGGCCTTGAAGTCTTTGTCAGTTCTGACAGTACGAACAATACT